TGGTGTGGATACTAGCACTGGTGGTCAGATTTGGTTCCTGCATAGTGCTCTGTGTACCCTCTGTGCACCCAGAGCCGGGGGTGAGGGGGGCAGGGGGATGGCTATCAGCTGACATCTGGTCCGCCCCGATTCACAGTGACCGCATGCACAGGGGTGTGGACCTTCCTGACCCGCAGGCGTCCTTCCCTTTGGCTAGTTGCCCTAACTAGACACCAGTCTGTTCTTCCTAATCCATCTTACTCTGGAAACCCAAAGCAAACCCACTACCATTGAGTCCAGACACAGAGACCCTCGGCAGGGCTTCCAGGGCTGTAGATCTTCCCTGAAGCAGACAGCCTCATCTTGGTCCCTTGGAGCAGCTGGTGGATTTGAACCGCTGACTTTGAGGTGAGCAGCCCAGTGCCGAACCCACAGTGCCACCAGGGCTCCTTTCTTAGTCTTGAAACCCTGTTCACAGCTGCTCAACACCGCAACCACCACACCAGTGCCCACTGAAGGCCAGCTGGGGGGACTGTACACAGGGTGTACCCACCGGGAATCGAACTTGGGTCTCCCGAGGGGGAAGGCAAGAATGATGCCGCAGAGCCCACAGCACACAGGAGCAAGGCGGCTTCCTAAGGTTCCTGGAACAGTGGCCATCTGCAATCCTGGGATCCTCCCGGAGCGTTCTGAAGCCCCTTGCTATGCTGGGCAGCTTGGACACCACGCTCCCCTCTGCACAGCACCCAGACAGCTGTTGACAGTTCGTGAGCTTGGGGACCTTTCACGCCTGTGCTCCCACCCCATGTACGTCCATTCTCAGGACGGCATTCTCTTTGATTCTTCCTGTTTTTTTAATGAGGGGCACGAACGTTGGAAGTTGGCAGAAGCGAGGTGCGTGGTTAGTCAGTCCCCACCCCAAGCTGCCCATTGAAGTGGGAACCAGACCTTCGCCCGCCCAAGCAGGATGCTGGCGGGCGCACCTCTGTCCCAAGGTGTCCCCAAGAGCGGGTGTGGCTTGGGAGAAACTGTTTATGAGGTACCCTCTGGTGTCCCTCTCCTGCCTTTCAACTGCACCCTTTTGTCACTGCAGATGTACGACAGGTGCTGGCGGCAGACGTGGGAACAGAGGAGACTCGGGGCCGGCCACACGCACACACACACACACACACACATGCACATATACCCACACTTTTGAACATGGGACAAGCAGCAAATTGGCCATTTGTCTCTGGGGTAATGGATCCTGCTGCAGAAGAAAACCTCTCAGATGGTTCAATTCAGTCCCGCTGTTCGCCCGTGCAGGGAAAGCAGCGACGACACCCACTTTTAATTCTCTTTAATTTTTAGGGGGGAGGGGGAGAAAGCCAAAAAAAAGGCAAAGGGGGCTTGTTGTAGTTTCTCCGAGGCCGCTCTCTCTCAGCTTTTTCTTAAAAGGGCTTTCTAGTTGCCACACAGGCATGTGATCATTACCGGGCAGCTCGGCTCCTGGCTGCCTCTGCGTGCAGTAAAATACAAAAAAAAAAAAGGAGGGGGGAGAGAGACCAGGGAGCTTGTGAAGTATGACTGCCCCCCACCCCCCGAGACTCCTTGCCGCCGATCGTCCGCCGGCAATGGTGGCGGTTCTGCAGACCTTGAAGAGCCTTCGCGAGGGGAGAGCGGCCGCAGCTCTGGGTAATCAGGTGCCGCTGAATATGCCACGCGTTTTGATCACACA